GGGGGGGGGGGCTGGGGGGTGGTATCTGCATGCATGTTGCCTGGTGAATGCTGCATGTTTGTTGCCTGTTGCTTTGATGTCTGCTGCATGCATGTTGATGACACTTAGACTGACATAGATTGAAGAAGACCGACGAGAAGAACAAGAAGAAGAACACTGAAGAGAAGAAGAAGAAGAAGAAGAAGAAGAAGAATGACAACTTGCAGGAAATCTTCGAGTGCTTAAGCAGCATATCAGCTGCATATGGCCAATATCGAGGAGGAAGATGGAGGAGGAGGAGGAGGAGGAGGAGGAGGAAGATCGAGGAGGAAGAAGGAGGAGGAAGAAGATGGAGGAAGGAGGAGGAGGAAGAAGGAGGATCGAGAAGAAGAAGGAAGAAGAAGAAGGAAGAAGAAGAAGAAGGAAGAAGGAAGAAGAAGAAGAAGGAGGGAGGAGGAGAAAGAAGAAGGATGAAGGAGGAGGAGGAGGAAGGGATGGATGGCGAGATGGGATGGAGGGATGGATGGCGAGATGGGATGGACGGATGGATGGCGAGATGGGATGGAGGGATGGATGGCGAAAAATATGAAGATCACCGTTAACTCCCGAAGGTGGAGTGATGCAAGAAGAAGAAGAAGAAGAAGAATGAGAAGAAGAAGAAGAGGAGAGAAGAAGACCTAACGAATGGAAAGGAAGAAGAAGAAGAAGAAGAAGAAGAAGAGGGTGAGGAGGGTAAGAAGAAGAAGAGGAGAGGACGACGATAAGAGGAGGAGGAGAATAAGAAGATAAGCGTAGAAGGAGGGGGAGAAGGACGGCCTTTTTTYWTWTTTTTTTTTAACCTGTMGTGTATCACGTGACCTACCGAATGTCGACGAAATGAAAGAAGAAGAACAAGAAGAAGAAGAAGAAGAAGAAGAAGAAGATGAGGAGGAGAAAGGAAACGAGAAGAAGTAGAAGAAGAAGATCAAGAAAGGTCGGGGAGAAAGATGAAAACGCGAGGGGGAGGAGGGTAGAGAAGAAGAAGACGAGAGGACGACTAGAAGAGGAGGAGGAGAAGAAGAAGACAAGCGGAGAAGGAGGGGGAGAAGGACAGCCTTTTTTTTTTTTCCTCACCTGTCGTGTCTCACGTGACCGGCCGAATGTCGACGAACTGAAAGAAGAAGAAGAAGAAGAAGAAGAAGAAGGAGAAGGAGGAGAAGAGGGAGAAGAAGAAGAAGAAGAAAATGAAGAAGAAGAAGAGGAGGAGAAAGAAAACGAGTGGGGGCCAAGGGGAAGACGAAGGGTAGACGAAGAAGACGAGAGGAGGAGGAGGAGGAGAGAAGAAGAAGAAGAAGAAGAAGTCGTTACCTGCAACAGTTACCCTAGCAGCAGGGCCTTCGTCTGCCCGCCCAACACAACCCTAGATGATCACGACAGGAAGAAGAAGAAGAAGAAGAAGAAGAACGGCGCGTTCGTCGTCGGGGTCTTTGTTGTAGCAGCAGCAGCAAGGCAGTCGGGGCCTTCGTCGTAGCAGGACAGTCGGGCCCGTCGTCGTAGCAGCAGCAGCAGACAGTCGGCGCCTTCGTCGTAGCAGATGGAGCAGTAGTCGATGGCGATGTCAACTGCCGACGGGCGACGCGCGACGACGCAGCAGGATGGCGGGGGAGAATGTTCGATCCCGCTGGGGGGCGAGTGGCAGACCACCCCAGCCGATCCCATGTTTGAAAGCGGGCAGGGAAGTTTCGCGCCTAGATCAACCGGCTCTGTGGCCGTTGATCATGGCGAATCTACAGCCGGATAGCACAAAAAAAAAATTTGGCCTCCCGCAGGCCTACCGGGCCCGACGGGTCGGTTTTTCGGGCCGGTCGGACCCGGTAGGCCTGCGGGAGGCCAAAAGAGGCGAAACGGGGGTCCGAAACGCCCAAACAGGTCAGTGCGCCGGGGGGGCCCGGGCCCCAACCGGGTGCCCTAGGTTCGGAGCTGGGTGTGTCCTAGGATGGCCGGATGATTGATTGGTCGGATAGATGGCTGGAGCGCCACCGCGCGCGCGATTAATAAAAGATGACGTCGTTTCTTTCGTTTCGGTTTCGATCTTTTGGGCGCGGACATCGCGCGGGAATTCACTTTGTTCTTTTTGAATTTTCTTTTGAAGTCTTGTTCGAATTTTGTCGAGCCCCGATAGCTCTCGAAGTTTTGAACTTTCCACCTGAAGTTCGTGGTTTTTGCTTTTCCGCATTAGACAGGAATTTAGGAATTCAGTAATTAGGATTTTCTTGCCGCGCGGCGCCTTTTGTCTAGGCGCTTCTTCATGCGGCTGCAACGGCACTCTGATTAGTGGGCGCCCTTAATCGTGTGCGTAACTGTAATTTTGGGCAGGCGCCATTGTAACTGTATCTTTCTTCTTGCACTTCGTCTCTCCCGCCCTCCCTTTCTTTCTTTTGCCGAAATTTTTGTAAGCCGCGGCTTACATGCTCGGATAGATGCGTGGAGAAGGGTTACGTCCCCCACGCCGCGGCCGATCATGCAGAACGCAGGCGCTCCCTCTCTAATCCCCACTCTAAGTACTGGTAATTTCGTGTTCCTCGCGCATGCATGCACACTATAAATTTCGGCTGCGCGATTAGTCAACTCTCTTAACCCGTTGTTGGAAGCTCGGGGTTGCGCGATCAGGAAGGGGCGGCACACGAGCGAAGTTAGAGGTGAGTAGAGTAGGAGTTGGGCGACCCGACGGGCTGGTGCCGAACGCGCGGGATTGACATGGGCCACGACGGACTGTGGGCACGGGCGAATCTGACGGGTGCGGGAGGACTAAGCAGGGTGACAACTTCGTGGGTTGGTGCGTGACGACGGACTGTCCGCATCGAAGAAGAGAGAGAGAGAGGAGGAGAGAGTTGAGGTCGATGGACGCAGATTTGCTGTTTCTTTGTCTCTTCCCCCTCTTCATCTGTGTACATACATTTTGATTGCGGCTCCGGGCGATTTTGCCCGTTCTTATTTTCGTTTCGGCTTTCTGGAATCTGGACTTGGGTTTTTGCTCACACTTGTCCTTGCGATGTCCGCCTCGATTGCATTATGTGTATGATTGCTGAATGTATGGATGTATGGATGCTATGCTCGCTTGTCTATCTTTTTACTGAGAATCCTTGTCTTTGCTTTTGCTTGTGACGAATCTCTGCCCGCACTTGATGCAGTTGCAAATGGGATAAGAGTTTGGCCCCGATAGCGATTTTGTTCTTGTTTTGCCTGTTTCACAATTGAGTTGTGATGTGGTTGCATCTCGCATAACCCACACTTACGAAGCAGTTAGGTGATCCGATATCCGGCCCCACGAACACCGCGCGAGGACACGTGTAAGCGCGATCCGAATCGCGCCATTACACGCATCCCCGTGCGTCGATTCGCCCACCCCTAGAGATTCGCGGCGGAACCGTCATCCCGAACGAGCACGCTGAGGCGCAACTAAGTTCGCCTGTCCTGCACGTGCTCGTGCGCGGTGACGATAACCCGACCAGAGTTATCCCATACAGGATGATACCATGACGCGATCTTGGAGCTTAGACTTATCCTACGACCCGGATTATTTCACCCCTTGGATCAACGAACTCCTAAGGCTGCGATACCCCTGTCACACGGAGAATCGACTATGTCCGCAGGAATTCCACTGCGCCACCTCTAGCGACCCCCGG